ACCATCCCCTCTCTGTTCCGTCGATTTCACGCCGCCAAACCAGAACTGGCGCCGCCCGAAGTAAGTGAAGCAGCGACGAGCCGCAACGATCTCGGAAAACTGAAGATGCGTGCACCTCTCCATTGCCGCCTGAAGGAGGGGAGGGACCAGCATTCATTCGCTACCTCGCCTCTCTGTTATCGTCGTCCTCAGTCGAGACATCGCCCGCCGTCTTGAGATAGAAAAGACGCGATGCCAACCACCGCAGTCCGCTACCATCCTCGCTCCCCGTTGCGTCGTCGACAGGAGAAGCATGAAGAAGCCGCAGCAGTAGCAGGCTCCTTACACTGTAATCTTGGCGACGAACTGAAGGGAGAAGCAGTGTCGCCGGCGTTGCCCGAATGAGGGAATGGAGCAGCGACGTCGCCGGGGAACCCAGCTTCGCCTCCGCCGCATCTCCTGTTCGTGACACCTCCGCTGGCCGATGACCTCACTTACGGCAACTGAAGAGATTTATTTAACTTTCGTCGTCACTCCTGCCATCTCGTGGTCGCCGGCGGCAACAACCAGAGTTCTCATATTTACCGATGGAAATAAATTATGGCAGAAGGTGATTTCCAGATTTCCAGATTCAGTAATTTTGGAAAAAAAAATCAAAATTATGCTTAAGGCTCTAAAATTAATTAGAGCAAAATCAATTTTAATTAATTTATTGAAAATATACACAGTAAATTACTTAATTAAATCCTGACTTAATAGATATATTTTGTATGTATATTTCAAAGAATTAATACACGAAACATATACAAATACTTATGTATATGAAACTTAACTTAATATTGATTTTAGGCATAACAATCAACTAGTCAGAGATTATAATGGCTCGCATACCAAATGTTAGATATACAATAGTCTAACTATAATAAACCATAGTATACGAGAAACCTGACCTCGTATGATAGCGGAAGCGTAGCCATGTAGATCTCCAGCCATAGTCGATGTTCCTGTTGTGTTGCCTCTTAACGGTAGACCGTTAGCCATGTTTTGCCTCAGACCTGACTCAGAACCCTAGATGGTGTATTGGTATCTACTGAGCAGCCTGAGTACCGTAACTAATGTGCTAACATCCATCATCCTGTATCCCATCAATCCAGGATTATATTAGGCACAGAGTTTGGTTGACTAACAACTACTAGTTATTAAGTCCAACTAGATCACTTAATAAGCCTAGTCAACTTGCACCACTTAATTAAGGCCCTAATATATAATATATAATATATATTATTAGGGAAAATCTTACATATTTTAACAACACAAACTAACTAATTCCAAGTTTCTTATTACATATCATTGCTACCATTTAATGATCAGTATCCAATCTTATAAACTTTACAATGAAGATACAACTACAAACAATATACTGATTCTGAAATATTTAACAACACATAGTAACTACTTTTAAGAATCTAATGAAATACCTTTGCTCCATTCCAAATAATCTGTGTTTTAAGCTTCCTGATGGAGATAGAATCTTCTGTTGCTGGATCATGATTTATGTCCTTTTTATCAAAACACACCTATAATAACAAATAAAACCATACTGTCATATGCATTTAACTGACAAGTTAATATTAATAGAACTGTAAGTAACATATAAATAGATAGATAGATTTTGATACGTCATTTGATTTTCATTTTTCCAGAATTCTATTCTTTCTGCAACTGCCATTTGTCATAAGCTCACCTCCCCCCTATTACAAGGTCATCTTTGGAGTTGTTCACAATTCTAGGTCTCAACACACACCTTAATCTTCAAGCAAATGTCTTCTTCCTTTCATTGGATGCTTTACAAATTTTCTTTGAAAGCTCAAGAAACGTTGGACCAGTCTTCTCCACAGCCTCATAGTTGTGATGGATGTTGCTCATTTTCGTTCTTTCCTCCATATATATATATAGGGAAGTTCATTTTAAAATTAATATTAGTTTTGAAGATCGCAACAATCATCTACCATTTAAATTCATTTTGTATTTACACATGTATTGATGGCTTGTAATAATAGTTTACGTATATGAAGAGCTTTCAAACAACCTTTCAAGTTTCAAGACAAAAAAATTAAAACGTATGCATTTTGTGTGGGTGGCACAATTATTATAGATGTGAACTGCCCCTAATTACTTCCGTCCAAAACGCGGCGTTTTGCTTGGGCGGGATGTATTTTCTTATTTTTAATTACTAAAAAGGTTCTGCTTTATTATAGTAGATGAAGGATAGATGAAGAGGATATACATACATACATATATATATATATATATATATTTATATATATATATATGTTTAACGTCCAGTGCAGGTGAATACTTTCCATGCGGTTGTGCGGGTGATTAATGTGCGTGAGTTTTGTACTTAATGTGCGTGAGTATTGTGCTTAAGGTGCGTGAGGTTTGTGCTTAATGTGCCTGAGTGTGTAGTGCTTAATGTGTGTGAGTTGTGTGCTTAATGTGCGTGGGTGTGTACTTCATGTGAGTTGTTGTTGAAACTTTAAAGTGTATGAGTTTTGTGTTTAATGTGCGTGAGTTTTGTGCTTAAGGTGCGTGAATCTTGTGCTTAAGGTGCGTGAGTTTTGTACTTAATGTGCGTGAGTGTGTACTTAATGTGAGTTGTTGTTAAAACCTAAGGTGCATGTGTTTTTGTGCTTAGGGTCTGTTTGGAAACCCGGAAAATGACTTCTGGAAATCATTTTCCGGGTTTTTGGTGTTTGGGAAGGCTGAAAATGAAATGGTCAAAGGAAAATGCTAGCTAGTCAATGGAAAATGATGGCTAAAATCCGGAAACTGACTTCCCCTTTTTTTTGGCGGAAGTCATTTTCCATCTTTCAATCAACACACGCAGACACGCTCAAGCCTTCTTCTCCCTTCACTGCTTCTTCTCCCACTTCACCTCCTCTTTCAACATTCAACAGAGAACTACCAATACATCTCCTCCAACAATCCACAACCACAAAAGCTTCACCAACACTAGAAAAGCTACAAGGTATATCATTTTTCCTTTTTGATTTTTTTTTTTCAAATATTATGGCTTCTTCACTGGTTTCCGCGGCTGGTTGGGGAAATCAGTGAGTCTGGTTTTCCGCATCGGAAACCAGATCTGGTTTCCGATGCGGAAAACCAGCGGAAACCAGTTGCAATTTTTTTTTATGCCAAACCAGTGAATTTGTTGCTGGTATTTTTTTTACTGATTATATAATAAAATGCTTTGCTTAATTTGTTGTTATGTGTTAGTTTTAATTGTTATTTGTTGTCATATTATTTTGATTGTATAGATGGATAGAAATGTTTAAGCATGCCATTATGTTCATTTTCTGGAAAATGAACCAAACACCAAAAGACAGTTTTCCATCACTTTCTGGAAAATGAACCAAACACCAAACGACAGTTTTTCATTGTGCAGCCAAACACAGGAAAGGAAAATGACTTCTGGAAAATGACTCATTTTCCAGAAGTCATTTTCCGGGTTTCCAAACAGACCCTTAATGTGCGTGGGTTTTGTGCTTAAGATGCGTGAGAGTTGTGCTTAAGATGCGTGAGTTTTGTGCTTAAGGTGCGTGAGTTTGTGTTCTGAATGTATTTTGTTTGTGTATCTAATGTGCGTCTGTTGTGTACTTAAAGTGTGCCAGTGTAATGATTAATGTGAGTCCACCCGCACAACCGCATGGGAAGCACCACATGTAAATTGGACTAATTGCATAAAATTGATTTGTTTAGGGACCTAATTGTTGTTTTTTTTAAAGTTCAGTGGCCTAATTGCATTACTGTGTACAGTTCGATGGCAACCTTATTCCTTTTTATTTTTATATCAAATTTGGAGTTCAACTAACTAAGTTACTCAAACTATTAGTACTTTAAAAATAAATATGGATTTTATATAACATTTAATGTTATATATATATACATATACATATATAAAGGGGTAGGGTGTGGGGAGTGGGTCAGCTAACCCCCATCGTGGCTCCATCTATGATTGGTGTGGTTGGAAAAAAATCTTTGACTGTCGAAACAACTTTCGTATTGAGAATAACTTCTAAAATTCACTCGCGAGCATGATTTTAAAGTACAGAGTATTAGAACAACTTTTACATAGTAGTCTTGATCTCACTATCTAACTAATGTAACATAACCCTAGTACTACTCCCAAGTGAATTTCTCATTCTCCCAATACTTCATAGGTCTTCGAACGATAGACCTGGAAGACTTGAAGCGGTATCTCGATAGTGGAAAGACTCTATTTATGTTACTTGGATGTTGTACCCTTTGTCATACTGGAACAGTAATTTTCAGTGCTTTTCCTTGTGTTGGTCAGGATAGGTATTCAATGTTAATACTATTATTACTATGTTATATTATAGTTTGTATTTCTGTGGTGTTACTTTAAGTTGACTGGGTTAGTCTATTAGTTAGGAAAAGTTAGAGTTGTATTCGCTAATATACTCTTGTATTCTCTTTCTGTTGACATGGAGCTTAGTTCCATCGGAACCACACATGAATATCATTGGGTGCCAATGGGTGTTCCGTACCAAACGCACGGCTGATAGCTCAGTAGAGCGTTACAAGGCTCGCCTGGTTGCCAAGGGCTTTAATCATGTAGTAGCAGAAGATTTCTTTGACACCTTTAGTCCGGTTGTCAAACCGACTACGGTCCGGATGCTCTTTTCCCTTGCCGTGTCAAATGGTTGGACTCTACGCTAGTTGGATGTTCACAATGCCTTTCTGAATGGTCGCTTGCCGGAAACTATATATATGAAACAACCTCTGGGATATGAAGATCCAGCCTACCCTGGTCACGTCTGTCATCTACAACGCTCTCTCTATGGTCTCAAACAGGCCCCCGCGCTTGGTTTAAGAAGCTCCATGATTTTGTACTGTCTGTAGGGTTCTCGGCCTCAAAGATAGATGTCTCGCTTTTTTATTATGCTTCGGGCAATTCCCAGGTTTTTCTACTTGTTTATGTCGACGACATCATTATGATGGGAAGCGAGGCAACTCTAGTTTATACTTTGCTACAACGACTAGCTACCGCCTTCAAAACTCGAGACCTTGGCACATCAGGTTTCTTCTTGGGTATTGAAACTGTTGCAGTGGGTACAAGTCTGGTTCTTTCACCGTGGCGCTATATGACTGACTTACTTAGTCACTCTGGGATGGTGGACTGTAAGCCACTTGCCACACCAGCTGCTGTCACCCAGCCGGTTACTCCTTCAGATCAACCTTTTGAGAATCCGACACAATACCGTCTCATTGTGGGCGCCCTTCAATACTTGACTATCACCCGGCCTGATCTATCTTATGCGTCCAATCATCTTTGTCAGTTCATGCACTCTCCGTCTGTTGACCACTGGGGCCTAGTCAAATGCGTGTTACGATACATCAAAGTTACTCTCAATTATGGGTTACGCCTGTCACCTTCGTCCTCCGTTGCCATTCATGCCTTTTCAGACTCTGACTGGGCAGGTTGTCAGATTGACAGAACGAACACGAGTGGGTATGCTGTATATTTGGGGTCCAACCTCATTTCTTGGCTGTCTAGGAAGCAACGCACCGTTGCATGTTTATTTATTGAAGCCGAGTACAAAGCTCTACCCGATGTCTCTGCTGAAGTCACTTGGGTTGTTTCGCTACTACGAGAACTTGGGTTACACTCTGGCCAGCCGTCGACCTTGTGGTGTGACAATCTCGGGGAAATATATCTTTGTGCCAATCCCGTTTTTCACGCACGCACCAAACATGTGGAAATTGACTATCACTTCGTCCGTGACAAGGTGGCCTCTGGGGACTTTATTGTCAACTTTGTGTCTACTAAGCACCAGCTTGCAGATATCTTCACCAAACCGTTGCCGGGTCCAAGGTTTGAGATTCTCCAAGACAAGCTCAATGTTGTGGCGCACCAACCTTGTGCTTGAGGGGGTGTGTTAATACAATTATTATATCTTGTTATTATTATGTTATATTATAGTTTGTATTTCTGTGGTGTTACTTTTAGTTGACTGGGTTAGTCTATTAGTTAGGAGAAGTTAGAGTTGTATTAGCTGATATACTCTTGTATTCTCTTTCTGTTGAAACTAAATGAAAGATCTTCTCTAATCTTCAAATCCTTGTTGACTGGGTTTTTGACAACAATTTGAACAATTCTTTTAGTAGTTGGTATCAATACTATCTATAAAGCAAACTAATACATAGTCTACCCTCCATCATATAACAGAAAAAGGATGCCCCCTACTTCCTAACACAGGTTTATAGGAACATTGTTGAAAACTAATCTATCTCACAATGATGAGACACCTAATATTGCATTTGCTACTCACAGTAGATGTGTCAATACTGGCCAGACCGTCCCATTAGACTTGCCCAATCGAGGGTTTTTTTTTTTGGACCGGCCCGCGAAGCTCTCACAATGACAAGACACCTAATATTGCATTTGCTACTCACAATAGAGTCGTCGTAGAGGTGTCAATACGGGCCAGATCGTCCCATTAGACGACTCGCCCCATCGAGAATTTTTTTATGGACCGGCCCGCGAGCTAAGATTACACAACCTTAACCCGCCTCATGCTGGTTCACGGGCTAACCAATGTTCCTAACTTTAAAAAAAATTAATTAATTTTATATTCAAATAATTTAACCTAAATAATATTAATTTCTTTCGTGTTTAAAAATTAAAAAAAATTACATTTTTTGTGTTTAAAAATTAAAAAAAAAATTACATTTTTTTAAATGTTAATGATATATATATATATATATATATATATATATATATATATATATATATATATATATATATATAACTAAGGCTGGCCCACGGACTTAGGCCAACCTTGACACGTACCCCTACTCAACTGTTATCACAATTTGTGAACTAGCCAATAGACTTACACTTAAAAGCTGCTCAGAGATTACTCAGGTACATGAACGGAGCTCATGGTCAGGGGCTATTCTACCCAGTTCAGTCCACTCCAGTTCTTAAAGGGTTTAGTGACTTCGATTGGCTAGCCTGCATTGACACACGTCGCTCCATAACTGGGTATTATGTATTTTTGGACTCACCCTTGATCTCTTGGAAAAAAAAAAGATGGTTGTTTCGAAATTAAATCCTCTTTAGAAAATGAATACAGAGTGATTGCAGCTGCAAATTGTTAACTCCAATGATTGAGTGTATTATTTATATTCTTCATAATTACATATTAGAGATTTAGAGCTAGGTCTGTTCTTGAAACCATTAGCAGCCAATCCTGGGTATATTTTTAGACACGAGTCCTATTATTGGATCATCATCAAAGCCAATTACAGTCATATATCAGATACAATACCAGTACTTAGATAATTATAAGCCAATACCTTTTCACATTTCAACAAACAAGTCTTGTTTTCAATTTTCATTAGAAGCCCATTTTTTGGACAAAATTGGAAGACAATCCCGTGTGCATTTTTACACACATCAATACAAGGACAAATCTAGAAGTTGGAGAATATAAAGGAAGTGAATAAATTTATGTACCCCTTTTTTGCCAAATCTATGATTGGATGGTGAGAAGAGAAAACTGTTTACTCCAACTTCAACTGCAATTCCAATATTGGCTAGCCTCATTGATTTGAAAGCTAAACTATATTCACTGAATTTTAAATCAAATTTGACATCTTTTTTCCAAAATATTAAATAATCAAAACTATACGAGCCAAAGTATCTCACACAGAAAAAGGGAAAAGACAAAATGAAATAAATGCTATTTCTTTTATCCAAAATATTATCCTTTTATTGAATTAAAAAATACTAAGTACATAAGCCCAAAATGATCCATAACAAAAGCAAACATAAGAGCCCAAAGACTTAGCCATTAACCATAGCCCAATTAATACGCCCACCACTAAAACCCACTAATAAAGCCTAACCAAACAAATGGCCCAAGAAAATGAGGCGTTAATCCGGCAATTTATATCCTACACCACGGCGCGCGTTGCACTATGCGCCCAGATGCAAAACGACGTCGTTTTAATTTTTTTTTTTTTTTTTTGAATTTCCCGCCCCAGTGATTGACAGTAGTTTTTTCTTTAAAAAAAAAAAAAAACCCGTTGTTCAAGAATGTACATAATGTTATACTAGAATACACATAATTGTATACATGAATGTACATAATTATATAACAAAATATACATACTCTTTTTAAAAGATAATACACATAATCTAACATAATACATAATAAACATAAACTTTTAACATAATACACATCAACTATTAACATAATACACACAAATTTTCTGATTCGGATGTACATGTATAAAAAGAATGTACATAATTGTATAAAAAATGTACATAACTATATGAACAAATACACATAACTGTGTGAACAAATACACATAATCCCAGCAACTTCCTACCGCGCCGCCCAAAACGACCCCAAAACGACGTTGTTTTGGGAGGCGCGCGGCGCACAGTGCTATGTGCGCCGTGGTGTAGGGTATAACGATTGCGTTAATCCTTGCTAAATCCAATTAGGCCAGTCACCGGCTTACCGCCCAACTGTAAAACAGCAAATTTAATTTAAGTCCTCTCCACAGCCAGCAAATGGTAAATTATGCCGTGGAAACGTGTTCACCATGCGCATGGTGAACATATGGGTAAATTCATAATTTTTATACTATAGATTCATAATTTGTTTTTCTAAACGTAGATTCATAATTTTGTTTTTCATTTATTGTTACAGAAATTATGAATCTAAAGTACAGAAATTATGAATCTACAGTATATATGTTATGAATCTATATTATAGAAATTATGAATCTACAGCTTAGAAATTATGTACATATCCAGTTAACAACAAATGAAAAACAAAATTATGAATCTACTTAAAAAAAAAAAACTATGAATCTACAGTATAGAAATTATGGATCTACTCATGTGTTTACCATGCGCATGGTGAACACGTTTCCACAGCATAACTATTGCCAACAAATTATATCGTGGACCGCGATCCATAATCCATTATGGACCGAGCTTATAAACGACATCCTTTTGTTTAATGAAAAGAAATGGCACATGTACCATTCCGCACGGTTCCGCAAAAAGTAACTCTGTTATTCAGTTTCATTTTATATACACTGCAGTTTCATTTCAATAGAACTACAGTTTCATTTCGATATAACTACATTCATTCGATATTATACACTCAAATATGTGAAAATATTATTTAGTTTTATTTTATATACACTATAATTTTATTAAAACATAACTACATTATCATTTCGATATAATTACAGTTTCATTGCACAGTATACACTCAAATATGTGAAATGTTATTCAGTTCCATTTCAATACAACTACAATTTCATTTCAATTCAATTGCATTTTCATTTGATAATATAAAAATAATACGTGAGACAGTGTAAGTTTAGATCATGGTTGCAAAAATCGTGCCTAGGCGCTAGGCGGCCGCGAGGAAGGCCGGAATCGGCCTCCTACGCGGACGGCTGGTTCAGCCATTTTTTAATTTTAATTTTTTTTTTTAATTTTTTTTTTTAGTTTTAAAGTGTTAAAAGTTTGGGAAGGCATAACTTTTGACTCGGTTGTCTGTTTTGAACAATTTTTTTTTTCAAATTGCGTATTTTTTCGAAGGCGGTTTGACCCTCTAATTTCTCCAAAAAATGCTTATTTTGCTCTTAATTTTAATTTTTTTTTTATGTATTTAGATGGTTTCAACAATATTCAAAACGATTTTACAACCACTTATGTAAATAATTTGTAAGAAAAAACTAGAGGAACCTTATGTTTTATTAGTGAATTTCATAATTTTTAATTTTTAATATATATTTTTTATTTTTTTTAAAATAAAAAAATTAAAAAAAAAAATCGGCGCCTAGGGGGCGCCAAACGTTTTTTTCAACATTGGGAAAATTTAAAACTCACAAATGTTTAATGTCACATTTTGTGAAATTACTAGACTCAGGTTCAACAACACATAACCATTCAAATTGGGCAGGCGAAATATCTTCATCCAATCATCGAATTCCATAACATTTCCTTGACCGTGTTGTTCTTCTCCAACGGTTGGCTCCTCGACCTCTTCCTATCCCATATAAGGAACTCCTTCGAAAAAATGAAATACAGTGATTATCACATCATTGGTATGTGCTATCTACCAAAAAAAATGCTTCTTTGCCTATCCAATTATAGCACATTATGTACTACTAAGCACATATGTCACCCAATCTTTTTGTCTAGATAAAAGTAGCGATTCAATTAGACGATGACTTTCGAAGAAGAATCCAGGCATCATGATTCCAAACTAAGAAAAAGCAAAGATATAGAAAGAAAAAGAACAGCATTGGTAAAAGTGAGTCTTAAATATAATTAGCAAGGGGTGATGAATTTATAGCTAACAAGTGACAAAAAATTATCTAGACAATAAGTAGTGCCTAATGGATCTCAGGCATTATGCTTACTTCCCAGGAGTCACCATCCTGTGAGTTTTGTAAGTCAAGCACGGTTAACTATAGAGTTATTTGGCTAACTTGTTTCCACATCCATCCATGGAAATCAATAATGTTACATCTCGAATTAAGTAGAGTTTGAACTCAGCTAACCCGATCGACGCCCAACAATCCTTGCCAAACTCGATCCTTAGCCTATTCCATCCGAGATTGGACTCGAATTTTGCTTCACCATCAATTCGAACTGGTGACCTTTGCTCTGATACTTCTACTCTGATATTTATATTCTGATACCTTTACTCTAATACCAATTGATGGATCTTAGCATTGCATTATACTAATTTCTCATGGGCTACCCATCCTATGACTGATGTAAGTCAAGCACCCTTAACCACAGAGTAATTTGTCTATCTGGTTGTCATATCCTACTAAAAAAGTATAGGTAAAATGAAAAATAGAGAGTATTTTACCTTCTAAAATGTAATAGGAGCAACCGAATTTTCATCACAGACTGCATGAATCTTCACAACTAAAGAAATTTCATTCCACAGCTAGAGAGTAATGA